GATCTCCATTATCCTATTATAATATTAACTATGTTCATTGATTATATGCACATTATGACATCGATTTTAAAAAATTCTCTATAAAAGAACCTATCCCTTATCCCACTTTATATATTAAAGATGCCCTCCCTTCTTTATCGTAGCAAATGTATTGAATTATATGGTAAGGACATTTAGTTGCATGTTCATGGTTGAGGTCGGCGACGCATAGAGACGTCAGAGGGACCACCCACGGAGACGACGCTACCAGCCGCGCCAGCCATGCCAACCGTGCCATTACGACCTACTCGGAAATCAATCGTAATATAAGAGCCGCTATTCAATCGGCCCCTCTTGAACAACCCGACAATGCACAGAGATCGATATGGGTTCAAACCATGCCACATAAAGACTTATAAAGTCGATATTAATTTTTTATCACTACGAGTACGATCTACCTCTGAAGCTATAAATCGAATTAAAACAACAATTTCGTAATGAAAATGGACGGCCGGCGTTGGCGTTTTTTGATGGTTCACATTAAATGTTATAGCTTCCTTTATTAATTGGTTTACTTGACTTTGAACCTGTTCCCGGCTCGTTCAGTTAAACGAAATTTACAACATAGTACAGAGACGTGTCCACCCAATCTGTACGCGGCCATTACACGCTCAATGTGGGCTTTAACTGCGACAACTCCAAGCTGCAAATTAACGTATATTTAATACCGACTCATTTGTTACTTTAAAACGCATCGAGACAATCTATACGAATTGCCGTCGTAAAATTTTATATTTCTTTTAAATTCAATCTTAATTGCTTCTTAGCTATGTAAGATATGACAACGCCCGAACGCAGACATGTTTGTTTGGTAACCCCCGCATACTAAGTCTCATCGGAAGAATATTATACTAAATTAATTTAAGCTATTAAGAATATATTGATCAGTCAAATATAGGAATTCTGTGGAGTTCAAGTAAAAACGGTTCTCTACTTGAAATATATACTTTTTTTATTGTATTAACATTTTTAAAGAATAAGTAATGTTAGATAAAATAATTTGAGCCACGCCATTGGCGATTAAATATTCGTAGATAAATTCCGAATAATTTATTTATATCTCATTCATTTAATAGATTAGCCAGCAGATAGGAAAATAAATTAAAAACAAAGTAAAAAAGTTTAGATTTTATGTTTAAAACTTGCGGTCGTAATTATCATAATATTTGCGTTTTGTGGTAAAATGAATTAGACAAGAGCGATATGTATCTAAGTTGTGGAGCACACTGCACTGCGCTTGCGTCGACCGACTCGTTACGTAATACCATTCTGGCCAACAATTTGTTTAATTTTGTTTATCGTATCTCCCTAACTCGGCAATTTATCCAATTAGAGGGCAGGCTCGAGGCGACCACCCACGTCGAGTCGGTCGGCTATTAAAATCAAATTATAAACTATTTTACTTATGTTTATATTCGGCTGCGGTATGGACTGATTTAAAATGCTATTCGTGCAATGTAAACCTATCTTTATATCTGTGTTGTAAAAGTAATTGACTGTCAGTTTAATATTTAGAATGCTGGTTAGTTTTAAAACGTAAATAAAATCAATTCCGTCTACTATTAAAAATAAAGATACGTATAATGCCTTTGCATTTTCAATTACAATAAAAAGAAGTGATAAATATTACAATTTTAAGGGTCTCGAAGGACATGACCGGGAAGGTTGATTGATTTTTAATATTATAAGAAATAAGGATTTTTCTAATGTACATTACAATTGTACAATATTTATAAGGATAAAAATTTATTTGACACTATTGTTTTTCGTAATAAAACTAAAATAAGTCGTAAAATAAATAGAACAATAATGCGTGACAATAGTTTGATATGCAATGAACGCACTTAAAGGCAAATTAAAAATTTTATACATTGAACGTGGGTAAAGTGACAACGAGTTTAAAATCGGACAATTTTATTGCAGCAGACCATTAACATTTAACGGGCGTACACCGCGTTAACTGATTTTAGGGCGAAGTGTGTGCGTAATAATATGTGTACGTGTTACCTGCAAATTGTAGACTCGGGAAATTGCATATCGAACCAAGTCATTCACAAAATGACAAAAACTTACACAATTATATTGTATTTCGGTAACTTACCATATCATCATCATCATCATCATCATTAGTAATATAGTTGGTCTGTTAGGCCCTTTATACATAAATAAATGTAAATTTTCAATATTATTATTGTATACTTGTGTCGCAACGTCAATCTATGAACGATTTCGTTCGATATTTAAGATGTCGAATGTTTACCATTTACCTGGATAAATTACAAACGGGCGGTGTACACGGTTTGCTAGTGGCATACCTACTATATGGCTACACGCAATTGATTTATGTGATCCGCAAACTTGCGAATGTGTTTATGATGAGAAAACAAGCATCCTTAACGCCCTCAAAACGCTGGATCCCACTTTATAGCGCTCGCAGCCCTCGCATTAAATACATAGCGGTTTATTCTGTTGCTTGTTCGTATACCATTTTCTTTTTGGTATTATCATTTTGAACTTTTTAAGCTAGATAAATCTTAGACTAATACTTTTTGGGTCAAAATGGACTTGTACAGTTCTTTGTATTTTTATGAAACTGAAGGTATTATGTCTTTCCTCAAAATATAATGTTTTTGATCGACACATAAGCATAAAAACGTTCAATACCAGGCACGTGCTAAATTGTTCAAGGCTTTTTGTTCTTTGATGTTAAAACCCTTATTTTAAATAGCAGTGTCACCTTTCAGTCCCGTAAAGTTGTAAAAGTCGTAAGCCGTCAGGCATAAAAGCTGCGCGATCAGTATTCATCACCTGGGGCGCATCTATTTTACAATGATAATCAAAATGTACGGCGCCATTTGCGTCACTTGCGGGCAGCGCATGTATGCTGATGAGCAACTATGCTGATGTCAATTCCACGACTTTAAACGTATCTAGAATTGTTCAAACTACTAATTTCTTCATTGTAAGTTAATCAATCATTTATTTTGCTTAAAAATTAAATTGTCCATTCTATACATTGCAAGTCTATGGTCAATGTCTGCTGGATAAAATTCTAGACAGCTCGGCACAGCGTTCATCGTAAATTCGTCAATGTCGCGCCTGTCACGGCAGTCGTTCACGAATTTTATTAAACAGACTCCAATTACTGATCGGAATGGTAAAACATCGTATTTCGATATTGAATGTTTTAATCATTGCGGCATACGGACGCCAAATTTGACTGATTAGTAAACAGCACGCAAAATTTTATGGGTTTCTTCAAACGACAAGGAAGTTTATACGAAAGGTGGACGTTTGAAGTTTGCCGTCTTCACGATTCGTCACGCGGCTTACTACAAGGCTTATAATATGTCTAAATTCTGAAAAAACAATTTATAATCCATAGCCTAAAAATAAAAGGCTCTTATAAAATAAAAGAATGAAAAATCTCATAAACTCTTTCTGAAACTATGTCATTGGCATTTCGATAGTTGACATTAAAAAACAGCTTTGTTTTCAAATTTTGAGTAAAAATAATAAAGCTTTGTTAAGAAAAGGAACTCATAAAACACATCTATTTCATGGTGTGTTTGCTGTACTTCTGCTATTTCATCCATCCTTGAATCCGTTACCCTTTTTAAAGTTAAACTTACATGGTTACAGTGACTCATCAAAATCAGTTCCCCAACTTTAGACAAAAAAAGTTTCTTATTATTTTTACTCTATTACTTAAGCTGTCGCTCGCGTAACTCTGTCCACGCGGTTTGAAAGAAAAAAAAAACTAAATTAGTAACTTAGTTCTTCCAGATTTTGTTCTACATCCAAACCAAATTATATAAAGATCCATTCAGCCGTTCTGGAGATACTTTCAACCGAACATCCATCCATCCAAGCATTCGCATTTATAATATCAGTAAGTTAATACAGTGATATTTAAGTTTTCTTAACCGACTGTGTTTGCTCGACAGCGTAGAGCTCAAGAGTGTGATGTTTTTCGCGCGTTTACGCCTCAGTGAGTCAAGTTTTATGATGAATTAAGGTTGAGGTATTATTTTAATGAGTTTATTCAAGAAAAATATTTTTATAAAGACAATAACAAGAAGTGAATAACACAGAAGTAGTTTTGGTTACAACACTTTTATAGTCTGTGCGTGGCAAAAACAATAACATATTAATTCTAACTGAACGTTTTCGGATAACGAAACCAAAAAATTGTGGACACGCGATGAATAATGAATGTATTGCATAAATTTATTGATCATAAAATGGGAATCAAATTTAGCTCCAAAAATGTTAATACCTACTAACCGCAGTCAACAAATGGTCATCAAATCAAATTAAAAATTCTTCGTGCAAGGTATTCAGTTTTATTAACACATAAATTACAAGAGCGAAGTGACAATGGCAATGGAAGACCTCGTATCGCAGTGGTAAGAAACGTACACTTAAAGCCAAAGTTCTGGGTTCAGTATTTTCATTAGCTAAACACCTTTTTTATCAAGTTATTTCATATTTTTATAGTTTGCCATGAAAACGAAAATATATAGCTTTTAACAACTAGCAGCTGTTAGCCTAAAGACTTCTAAGGAAACTTGGGATTTTACCGTTACTTTCTACATTAGAACTAGATTAAAAAAATACTCCCACGAGTAATTCTAAATTATTGGATCAACCTAACTATGAGTGTGGCACTCTCTCTCTAGACTAATTTAGTTTAAAGAGTGAGAACTTGTTTGCTATCTTCCTTTTTTTAATTTCAAGACATTTAAAAACTTCTAAACTTTTACCCAAAACGTTTATTCATCATTAGAAAGCTGCATTCTAAATAACGTTGGTAAACGCGTATTCACGCGCATGCGCTATGTTAAAATTCACCCTGGCGAAGCCAGGTACGGGCTGACAATCTCAATTAAAAGAAATTACAACACAATGAGATTCTAAAGAATAATTTGATTACAATTAAATCAAATGAAAGACGTAAACCATAGCTAATAGAGATCCATAAAGATGGACTCCAAAGTTTTATTTAAGATCTTAATTTTTTTTGGTTTACCATCACTAAAACACCTATTCGGTACATTAATGTCTATAATTTATAATTGAAACGTACCTTTGTGGTCTCAATCAGGTATATCCCACACGGCGTTCGTAGAAGATCTATAGAAGGACACCCCGCTGAGTTTTCGACCGAAGTGTCAATATGTCTTACCACCCTGGATGCATATCACTAAAACAAGAATTTATAATTTTACACCTTAAACTTTAACGTGTAAGATTCAATTTAACTTGTGTGATATTTAAGTTGTCAAGGGATATTTGCGGTACCTAATATCAGGAGATAGATCTATCCAAAGTATTGATGACTTTTTTGGATATAAAAATTGAATTCAATAGAATCATTTACACCTCCAGGATTTCTCGGAAGGTGAGTGAGATGGAGTTGTCATCGAGTGTTGTTCGATAAAATAATATATTGTAAGATTGTTCAAAATAACGTCTTCGGGATTCAATTGTTTTTCTCTGATTAATCAATCAAGGATTATTATAAAAAAAAACTCTACAACGCCACAACGCAACGTCATTAACGCAAAAAAGTATCGTACTAATATTATAAATGCGAATGTTTAGATGAATGGATGTATGGATGTTTATTTGAAGGTCTCTCCGCAACGGCTATATGGAAATTGCTGAAATTTACCATAGATGTAGAAGATAGTGGAAAAACAAATAGGCTAATTTTTTTAATTCCGCGAGGATGGAGTCGCGGGCGACAGCTGGAATTAGAATAAAATATATGGGTAGATAGAATTCGTTTAAGTAGTTAGGATAATTTTGTACTTTAACTCGAATTCCTTCCGTTTTAGATAAATCAATTTTTTAATATATAATGAATATTAGCTATGTCAGCCTTAATATTCAGGGAAACTTATAACCACTTTGTGAAGATGTTTTCTGTAATTTATGTGAAATTATCATTTATTCTGATTTATCCGTTGAATCTGAGTAAATAAGCTGTAACTCTTGATCCTGCGGCCGCGTAGTTAAATTTTTCATAGGCGTATATTTTGTGTAGTGGTTAAGGACTTGGCGGCAGTTTCTCGGCACGCCCGCTAAATAAATTCATTAGTTAAATCACCGCCGGCGGCTTTTAATGTCGGTAACTTCAAAGAGACCGCTCGCCGCCCCGCCGGGGGCGCTTTCGTTCGAGTTTTTACTCAGAAAACTCTGTAAACAAAATGATACGGCGCGTCCGAATGTTTGATCCGCCTTTATTATCTGTATACAGAGATAATGTTTAACTAGTAAACGGCCTCTCTTTGTGGTAATTGTGCGGATGTAATAACTTTAAGTTCACGACCAAACACAGCTTTGAGAAGTCTTAAAATACTAACTACTTAAATTTTATCTGGCCCGCGAATGGCTTTTCAAAGATTGCAGGAACATTTAATTAAGGTACTTACGTAGCCGTGTGTTTGAATTTTTACTGCATTCTGACAATTTACAACGATTTGTCAAGGCGATGCGTAACCCATATGTAACCGGTGGCAATCATTGCGAGCTGTTTCATTCAATGTTTTTATTTTACCGCGCCGCCTTCCCTCCTCTCACCAATAGAGCGGGACGGCAACATAACGTGTGTGGTCCTATGAGCCAGCCATCGGGCGTTTCCGCCGTTGCTCGGCTGCCTCCGCGTCCCAGAACGGCAACATAATCGACCGAATCATGATGGCAGCTCAACAAACATTCGGTGTATCTGAGCGGTCAGTGTTTGATTCAGTGTCGCTCGAGTCGCGTCAGTGCAGACACGTTATCCAGGTGTTACTGCAATATCGAAACTCGGTGCCGTTCCGCGTTTCGAATGGTTCAGTGGTGAATAGAGGTGAAGGATAAAGGTGTAATAGTGTGTGGTTATGTGGCGGCGAGTGATATGACAGCGTGCGCCGCCAGACGGATACCGGCCGTCTTCATGAGGATACTGGTGACAAGTCTGGCCCCGAGATCATGGTGGCTCCCGATTCCGAGGCTCCTTCGAATCCTCGGATAGCTGCCGCTACACACGAGAGCCCTTCCGCCGCTGAGGCGCGCCACAGCGCCGATCTTTACATACGAACCAGCTGGGTAGATGCAGCATTAGCACTCTCCGAGCTCGAAAAGGTGCAGTAATCACTTGATACGGTACACAGTACACTAGTGTCAAATAACGATTGTCATAATGCACGTGTGATTGTTTTTCTGCGAATGTCAATCGCAATCCGGAACGCGGCAGCGGGATCTGTAGCGCCGACTAGTGGTCACTGTGCGTACTACTAAGACGCAAGAAAGTTTACTCCCCCGATTATTTATAACCGAAAGATGCCCGTATATTTATGTCACAAAAACTGTTAGTAACAGAATTATGCTTATTATATTTTTTATTTTTATACTCTAAATCAATTTTTATAATCTAGCAAAGAATAAAAATATATCAAAAACTCTAAAGGGAAAAGTAAATCGTAAAAAAAATAAATTATCCTAAGTTATTTCAAAGAATGAAACTTTAAGAATAAATACGTAATTTTCCTAATCAACAAAATATACAGACCAACCACGACCATGAGTTTATTTCACATATTCACGGAACAAAAATTTTCGATAGAATAATTATTTCACAACGAATTTAAATGTTAAGTGAGTGAAGTAGTACATACAGAAATGGCAGACAGGTTCCGGGAAGGTAGCTCTTTCCTAGAAGGCCGCACGCACGCCCCGCGGTGGTCCGCACCCTTACTAGGAAGCTTCGCAAAACGTTCCCCGCCTTCAAAGGACGCAAAGTATATTTAAAAATGCCCTGATATAGTTTTGGTTTGTAGCTGTTACACAAGGTAAAACAGTTAATTTATGACCATCCTACAAAAGTCCTTTCGAATTTCGAAAATTATTAGTTCGCATTGAAAGTTATAGATTATGCATTCCGTTTATTGATATATTATTGATATGGAGATTTGGAAAAATATATTATCACATTTTAATAGTAGCAAAAACAGCTATAAAAATAAAATAGTAGGAAGTTTGTAGTTGGGACGGACGTATGCAAGATGAAGCAATTAAGGGCCGGAGGAGTCGAGGGATCGAGAGGCTGCGCACGCGCACTGCACCGGCGCCGATAGAGACATCAACGTGGAACGCATGCCATAAACTCTAATAGACCTGAAAAAATATTTAAAGAACGGTTAAAGCTGTATAAAATTAGTTTTTTTTTTTAATGCAATTATGCTGCAAGAAATTATATTCTCTATACGTTTAATTGCATTTGCATCCTTCTTCTGAAATATTTGTAATTTCCAATTCAAATTTAACATAAAAATTCTTAATTTAATTTCGTTTCAAACAAAAAATTCTCATTTTAAAGTAAATCTACGATTTCCAATTAAATTTGTTCCATTACCCTAAATTAGGATCAAAATGTATACGGACCCTTCTTAATAAGTATTTTTAGTTACTAAGAACCTCGATTATATTTATTTATTAAAAAAATTACAAATTCCTATCTAATCGATTCATATATCTTGAAGACCTCACAGAACTTGCCTCTTGGAATTGAGACATCTTGTGGTTTCCGATCACACGTCTCTTTTCTTCCCGATCAAGTCACTGATGCTTTCCTTTTCTTTAAGGTATATTTTTCCGTCTCTTTTCGACTCGTTTTTCCCACGTATAGTGCATCTTCTTCCAAACAATGAGCGCGGTGACGGTCGGCAGCTGCGCGGAGACCTATAAACGATTGTTACTACACCCACGATTTTCGAAAACTGTTCCTTGAAAGTGTATTATAATGTTTTGGCTCTATAAGTTTGCGCAAGTTTCTAGTAAATACATTGGACACTAATAATTAAAGTTAATACGTAGAAAAAATTTATTGTTGTTCTTTTCCTTTAGTTCTTTAGTAGTTCCTTTAGTAGTATGGTTTTATAAATGACTGGCAACTTACTTGTAACAATAGACAAGAGTATTTCGTATTACAAACAGTGATATCAGATTGCACCAGTGCTTTACTGAGCCGGAGAACACCGCAACGCGTGGCAAGTACACGCATCAGTGGGCATTCGGTTATTTTTCCCCGCCACTAACCTTTCCTTCCGATCGAATGCGTCTGACCAAAAGAAGACACCATGTGTCTTATACTTTGCGACCAAAGATGTGTTTATCACTTTAAAATGCTAGTAACCTAGTACGTTAGCGATAAAGCTGCTATCATATGGCCGCTCCGACCGGTTTTACGTTAACGCCTAACATGGCAACTTTCTTTAAGTTTATAAATTATTTACCGCTTCTGAATGCCGTTTTTATAAATGTTTATTTTTCTTAAAATTAATCTATTAAAATTTTAATGACTGTTATCGGATTTAATAAATGTCGATAAATGTTACTTTACAAATGTTCGTGTTTTTGATATTTTATCAAGGACGTGTTTTTAAATTAACTCTTTCTTATTTAATAAACATGTTATGAATTAAAACATTATAGGTTTTTATTGATAATTATTCCTTCACATGTTTAAACTCAAAAAAGTAAGACTAAAACGGTTTAATGCTTTTTAGTCGTAAATCATTGAATCGTCATCATCTTCCAGGCCTACCAGGGCAGGTGGGATACCACACAGATCGGGTCACACTGGGGTCGGCGCATAGGGTTTAAAAATCTAAATGTTTCAGTTAATTAGTATAAATAATTAGTTAATAATTAATAGTATTATAAATAATAATTAGTATTAGTTCTTCTGTTTATGGACATGAATATATAAATACCCTTTGCAGAATAAAAAAATTATGTTAAAAGATTATCTTAATACGTGTACTCATCTATGGCATTTGTTATCAAGTAATTGAATCGCAAAACGTCGGTCGTGAAATGTAAATATGAAATGAGTGGAGCAAAACATTCTTGGCTAGTAATAGGTGAGGCCAGTGATGCCGGTCGTAGCATAGCGTTCGGATAATAGTCCCACACCCACGGCCCATTATATGCAGATATCCGGGACTAAGTCGTGCTCGTGCCCCTCTCGGTGTCTCTTATACTGATCGTAATATACAAGAAGCAATAATATAATATAGAATTTATCTGAATCAAATATAACATCGATAAAAAATAAGTTTTTCTAGAATTTATTATTAGTACATACTGTCGCCCGCAACTCCGTCCGCGCGCAATTAAAAATAAAACATAAGAGCCTCTTCCAGACTACATTCTACATCTATGCCAAATTTCAGCGAGATCCCGGAGATACCTTCAAACAAACATCCATTAATCCATCCATCTAAACATTCGCATTTATTAGTAAGAATAAAAATAATGAGGAGTACTAGAATTTATTATCAGCACATATTAAATAATAAAACTCGATTGATAGTACCTCGATAAGATTATAAGGATTGATCTCAATCAAATCAAGGCTTTTTGGAGACTTCTGTTTGCTTTAATTAAAAAGTTTTGTTCAGTAAATTTACTCTTCAGTATTAGTCTATTAAATAATGGAATCGAGTAGGCTTATTTTGTTGTTGCTAAGTCCCCCATAAGTTGGTTGTTTCTCTTGCGATGTCAACGAGTACGCATTTGATTGTCGGCCGTCAGCCACAATAACAGAAACGATTTCGTAGCTCATTACGAGGCAATCAATACGTGATAATTATACCGGGCGTGACCCCTCGATAAAAGACAAAGTCGTCTGAGTTCGGCCGCCGCTACTATTTCTAAATTTATCTACAATTTCCTGTCACACGATAAAGATATGTGTTTACATAATCCCGAAATGTCTGTATTAATAACGTTGTAACTAATTGGATTTTAAATAACTTGAATAGCCAAAGGAAACAGCTGTCACCACCGTAATAATTTAAATGAGAATTTTAGAGATATTTGAATTCTTTCACTGACATTCGTGATAAGGAACACATCGGTACTAAAAACTGCTCGTCTGCTTTTATAATTATATATTTTATTAATTAAATTACATATAAAACTAACAAAATTTCATTGTCAAAAGAGTAAAACAAGAAAAACGTGATATATGCGCTACGCTTGAGTAGAAATAAACCGATAAAAAGCTTTGGAATAATTTAAATTATTAATTCTACAATTAAAGTAAACATCATTAATTATTCTACCGTACCGTCAGATTGCAAATAAGATAACAAAATTCGAAAAACGGCTGAGAATAATCAGCTTTAAAATGAGTTCGTAACGAAGGAGGTTATAATATTTAGGCGCCAGGTAGAACTCTGTGGCCGGGCGTGTTATCGCAGGAAGTGGCGGCGCTAGCGTTGCGGATTATACGAACTTAATACCGTGATACTTGCGTCATGGCGTGCGGTGACCAGTAGCCTGTGCATATATATATATATATATGCGATCTATAACTCTTAATAGGACAGATTTAATTAAGACCCATCCGTCGTTGTGGAAACAGGCTTTTAGTAGTGTGTTTGTCATTTATTTTCTGAACGCTCTTCAATATAAGTTAAGGGCTTTTTTCTTCGAGTTTCATATTTGGAGTTTTTTAAACATTTTCTCAAATTAAAAAAAAATACCAATTAGATTATTAGTATCCACAATTGTGCTTGAAGATTTTATTTTGATGTGCTCAATCGTAGCGGGATGCTGCTTGTTGGTAGATAAAAAAGCAAGTAACGGCGCTTTCAGATTGATCTCTGACTACTCGTTTATACGAATTTTAAGCGAACATTCTTGATTAACCACTTAGTCTATCTGTTAAGACAAATGCATATGACCGAATTTTTATCGATCAGCGTTATCTATATTTATTTCACGAACGAAATTTCAAATATATTTGTATTCATTCTACGTTTAGGACATCACTTATTTGAAATTTAAAAACGTATCTAAATAATTTTACGGGTTACGGTGGAGTGAAACTTTGTAGAGTCAAATCTCTACAAAGTTGACTATAGTATATATGAATGAAAAATACAGCAGTGTACCGTGGTGGAGTACGGTTTTATAACCACGTGGAGAGGGCAAGAGGCCGAGCGGGGGTCGGGCGTGGGGTCGCGGGGGAGGCGGGGGCGCATTCCGTCCGTGACGTCACGGCCACCCAGCGCGGCATTCGGTGCACCCGAACTGAAACGTACGATCCCGAGCTATATCTGCTATTATATTGTTGCTTCGATTTATTTATTTATGTTCTAAGCTCCGGTTTGATTTCGGATGTAGACGTATGTTTAGGGCACTTGTGTTTAATGACTATTCGGTGATAGAAATAAACTTTGAATTGAATTAAATTACTGGCAAGCGAATATGAATTAAGTTTTTAATACTCAAAGTGCAGTTCTAAATTTAAAATATATTTCTGTATTTGCTTAACAAAATGTGCGGCATAATTTACCGCTAAGGTTGTAACAAAATTAGCATAATGGCCATAAACTATTTACATAAAGTTTAATTTGACCAAAGTTTTAAAGCTTTTAGATACTATAAAGATTATTTTATAATAAAAATTAAATGTGTAAAGGCAGTGTTATCTACCTTTATTTACAATTTTATAATATCGCTATGGTGTAAATTTAATCAGCATTTGCATATCTAATATTTTGTGCATCAAAAATATAATTTGAACATTAACAGTGAACCAGACTATAGATAAATGCTAATATTCTGTATTGCTCCAATTTTACAACAGGAGCGAGTGACCTACGAAAGATCAAAAGTTGGCAACTTCAAATTATATTATTGACTAAAATAATCCACTTCACGACTGTATTTTTCATACAGACAACAGATTACGTGTTGTTTTTATAAATAGCATTAATGTTTTCATTATCTGTTCCATTAAAAATTGTGTTAAGCGTATAGACGCGACGCGGGCGAGAGCGCAACGTCTTTATAATGACCTACCTACTACCGAGTAATGTCGGCGAGACGATGCCTCTGCCTCGATTGAGTTATTATTCTGCAATTAGTAGGCGCTTCACGTGTTCCCGAGACTCATCTCTGTCTCCCCTCTTTCCCGGTGCGCCTTCCTCATACCCCCCACCGCCTACATTATGTAACAGCGATCGATTGTTTTTAACTTTTTTTATATCGTCGTACATTTCTGCATTTGAATTTGATAGTTGTTTTGATCGAATGTTTGTCGTCGATTTTTTTTGAGTCTGATTAAAAAATATGCTTAACGTTTTAGTAACAAACTTAATTAGTTAAAACGAATATGAAATCCTCAGTTTCATTAGTTTGCTGATTGTAGGGAATTTTTAAATATCGGATGTAACTCAAAAATGACTAGAATAACCAGATATTCTGGATGTATCTTTCGCTTCTTGTTTTGGTAAGGTATGCTCGTAATTTTATTCGTTAATAACTGTTTTTCTAAACGAGTTTCTGTTAACAGAGTTATTCAACGATATTTGCGAAACATTACCATAAATATTCACGGTCTTAAATCACGGGTTCGCAGATATAACGATTATTTTTTTAAAGTGTGTTTTATTTGTTAAAGTATAATACATAAACCAACAATATAGTAAGTAACCTACGAATACTACAAATAGCCCTCGTATTCTTTCGTTTACGCTTCGAACAATATCCGTGTTTACGGTGTCGAGTTTTCCGTGGCTATATAAGTTCTACAAGATTGGTAGATAATCTTGCGGCTGAGCCGGCCGGCGCCAGCCTGCGCCCCTCATTAATCACAATCAACTGAGAAATTATAGCGACGTTCAAAACGCACACGATGTTATTACACACCGACAAAGTTGGGGAAGCTATACTTTTAAATATTTAATGATGCCAAGATAAGCTTCTGTATCAAGGTTTTCTAAACTTTTATAATGTTATCATTTTGAGTATAGTTATTTATAGAAACATTCATGCTGTTCTACAAATGCAATTGATTTTAATTTTATAAATTTTTCGTAACAGGGCAATATCGAAGGTGGGCGTACGTCGCTGTGGATACGGGCGTGGCTGCAAGAGCAGTTGTTCATCCTCGGCTGTTTTCTACAAGGCGACGCTGGGAAGGTCCTCTTCGTTGCCATCCTCGTGCTATCCACGTTCTGTGTGGGCCTCAAATCCGCCCAGATACACTCCCGGGTCGATCAACTCTGGGTACAAGGTACGTGTTACGAATAGTCAAGCTGAAATATCTAGAACGAAACCATAAACTTTGCGTTATCGTACACATACAATCTCTCATCGTGATAGCAGACTGTCACTTTGCCCATCTAGTGGAATATCAATCCGGGACCGATGGGCACGTATGAAGGCCCGCCGCTTCCGTCTGTGGGCACGTGAGTTGAATGCCGTGAGGACTACACAGCGCGCCGCTGTGTATTAGAGCCCTCAAACGATACATGGCGAATCCTAATTCGTCGGTTGCACCAACAAACGTCCGGTGCGTGCGATCGACGCATTGTCTTTCAAATTAGCCTCCAATGCATCGCGTATTAATAAAACATAGCATGTAAAGGATAATTGTTGACAGAAGCAATTTTATGAACGGTACGTGAGCAAAGTCGCGACGGTCCCTTTGACCAGCAGGATGTTGGTTATTTCAATGCTAATTACATTAATATATTGTATTATATTGTAGAAAATAGAATAATTTGTATTCATTCTCAAACTCGCCTATTAAATATTATATAATATAAGAGCTTATGAAATAGACGTTACGAAAATTCGGAATCAGTTGCTATGTAAATGTCGAAAGATGTGATATATAAGATACGTTATTTAAATATTGACTTTAGAAAATTAATAATTTAAACAATGACAACGTACGTTATCATTATTGTAAACTGCGGTAAAATGCGTAAACAATGATCTACTGTATGTTCCATGAAATGTGATTTCATACCATTGATTTTTAATTCTCCACTGAATTCGAATGAAGAAGTTTTTAGTTCTTAAAGGATTCTTTCACGAACTAAAAACTTCTTCATTTACTAGAGTTTTTTCAAAACATTGTACTTCGCCATTTTGTTGTTCAAGCCAATGATACTTCATCATGCGTATGCTAATAATAAGGTGTGCCAAATAAGGTGGCATGTCTACAAATTAGGTAGCCGGCCACCCAACCATTTGATTATCGTGATTGTTCCTACTATTACAGTTGAATAATATGTTTTATGGCTTTATTGTTTTTTATTATATTGTACTGTTACTTGTTAACATATCGATTTAATAATTTGTTTCATAGTAAACAATAATCTAAATTTAAGAATTTAATTACGATTTAGTGAACCACCAAATACTTTCTAGACTTTGTAAATGAAGAAATAATAGTTAAAATCTGTTTGTCATAGTCACAAGCATAGAAAACGCTTACTTAACTTATCTCTGTTCGATTCAAATTAACTAAGTGAGCGTTATGTTTAATTTTTAACATTAAACGACTAATTTGCATATAAATCTTGTCATAAGAGGATCGTGTTATAAGAACGGCATAAATAAAAGTTAAGGGTCGATCCATCACAGGACATGTTGTCATTGCAACATTGTTGCAGGGGACCCTCGCATTATCAAGAGATCGCATCATTCCTGCCGAATGTCCGCGAAATAGCTGCACATTTGCTCGTTTTTCGGTTCAATTTATTAAATTTATCACCGGTCGTCGGTTGGCGGGACCTGACGCCGGGTGGTCGTATCGTAAAATTGCTCAATCCGATAGTCGATTCCGACATGCGATACCTAATGCTCGCGTTATCTAACCGGCCTTCGATTGAATCGTAAATAATAACAGACAGACAAATAACACAGCCCTGTGACCGCTTTCGGTAATAAAAAGCATTAGTGCATTTATATTATTCATTTAATGACCTGTCTTGTGAGTTCCTTAGCCTGTAGCTATTTTATTTTATGAAATTGATATATAATTTAAACATATAAATATTCGAACCTTTCTTAGGCATATTAACTTTATTATTAAGCAAAAGCTATCTATTATCGGATATTATTGCATCTATCAGTGTTATTTACATTTGTAGCTAAAACTGTTTGGATTCGTCTTTCTTAACGTATACTGTAGGTTCAAATACAAACTTTTTATTTTATTTAATACAGCCTATAAAGCAAATTGATATTTGTATTCTTTTTATCTCTTTGTAGAACTTTATGTATACCGATAAAGTAATTGCTATCATCACAGCAAATTATTAACAAGAACACTGTTATTAACGATTATCGTAACAAATGGTTCGCACGACATTTCCACGTACAATGTCGATCCCGGAACTCTAAATATTGAGAGGATGTGTCGTATCCTATGCGGGCACGTCCGTCTCTAAACTGTTGTCTAAAATACATAATTTTATCATTTAAAACGTTTACAAAGGGTCTATTACAAATAATTGCGATATGCGTGTTCGTACCGTTATAGACAATTTGTCAAAATTTTATATGAGACAATCTAATACAAATGTCGATAACGTTACAAAATACTTTCTAGTAAATTTTCGTACTAGGCCCTCAGTTACCTTACTTCATAGGATCATTTCTATAGTATATTCTTCACGAGACAAACAATATGTTAGGCCTTAGGTGAGAAAATAATCATACAAAATTCTCTTTCAAATGTTGGTACGATTTTAAATCAGATTTCTTCAGTACAAAAAATGTCAATGAAATATATGAATAATATAAAATTACTATTATTAAAAAAAAGACTTTTGTATTCTCGAAGTTAACAGGAAATGAAACAAAGAAGACAAATAACTGTTCATGTTTTTATTATTCCTCGTCCCTTTTGCATTTGGGTGGTCGAAGTTAATGAATACAGATTAAGAAAAATATTGTATAAACAAAGAGATAAATATAACTAGAAGTGAACGTTGCGTTTTAAAGATTTATGATATTTGTTTTTTAAGGATAAAACTATTCAATATTATCACATTTTATATTACTGTAAATAAAATTATGTTCTTTCTAAAAATCACTTTCTCCGTAAAGCAGCGGAACTCCCCTCCTTGGTCGTTTTCCATTATATCTTTACCCGTTGTGGGTGGCAAATGACAACTGGTAAAATGGGCGGAATGACCTCTGATTCAAATGTCACGTCAATGAATGTCAATTCTAAAATTCGAGTCACAAAATTAAACTAATTTAATGGAATGCATTTGAACTATCTAATAAAAACTTAAAATACGTTGAAAAAGGTTGCTTTTATTGATGCACCTGTCGACTTGTTCTCCCGCCACTCGAAACTCGCGATCAAAATGCGTATTTTTTTTCGACATTCTGATTTCAAGTGTAAGGCCCGTTGTACACAAGGCAATGTTAATCTTCGAAACAGCGATTTTGGGCGCTAAGTGACTTGCGTCGGTAACATTTTAGTCTTTGATCGCCAGCACTAGTCCCTCGCAACCGTATGCCAAGATCTTCGCGACAGAGTTGTTGGAATTCTCAAGATGGTGGGGCAAATCTATGCAATTGAGATGTAGACGCTATGTGTGTACTGACTGAATAGACGACTCGCATCGACGATTTAGCATTGTGTGTACGGAGCATCGCAATGCGATATCCGCGACCTAAAAATGCGATATTAGTTTCGAAGATTTCTGTTGCCTTGTGTACGAAAGAACTGTTGAGGACTAAAAGGACTGTTGATTATGAACATCAATATAGATTTATCAAACGACTTTTAAACATAATCATCAAACATCTATATTCAAATGTCAGCTACTGTCCAAATAAAACAAATATGTTTTATAATCAACTTCAAAAATCTTATCGAGGAACTAAAGCCGCCGCTGTTAAACAATGCCGAAGGTCCCAGAGTCGTCTAACAACTTAATTAGGTGGCCCACGGCCGCTCGTAAATATCCCCACGTGAAATTACGACCAATAAAAGTAAAAAATGTATAACACATCTATTGACTCACAAAAAAGTCGAGGGATTTGATTGTCCGGCTCGCCTTTGTATGGCAACGTCCAACTGTGCCTCGTGTGCCACTTTCGGTCCCAAATTTAACTCTGCCTGGACAAATTTCTGTAGGTTTCGTGTCCATTGTCAACCCTAAGAAGATAGAAATAACGTCGAATTTTAATTTTGATAGGTTAAAATTCTTGGTGCAAAAAAAAGCGTCAGAAAAATACATATTGATTTGATAACTTGATAGAATTAGGTATATATTTTGTCGTGATCTGTTCTGCTAGTGATATACAATATTCGAAATTAAAAAAGTAAAAGTCGCATATATTTTTACGATGAGATAATAACAGCTTTAGTTACATGTAAAAACTCAGCACTAGCTACGTACTGAGTGGCATTTGTTTCATTGTAGAAATTATTGACTCGTACGCATGATTTCTACACAGAGGCTTTAATTCGTGTTTACAAACCGGACCATGTTGGGCGGTGATTTAGCGACCATGACCGATATACTATATAACTATTTAATTCAGATTTTTCCCTCTCGTTTTATATCAGAATTCAACTTTAAATTTATAAGAAAGTAATAGATTTTAAAACATTTATTGCGATGTTTCGATTATATAATTAGGTAGTTCATCCTGTAAGGCCGTCACATGGAAAGTCGAACGTGAATCGTGAATCGGCGGTGCGGGTGCGCAAGGGACGCGCGGTTTGTTTATTCCGCCATCCATCTGTTGTCTACGCGGGCTAATTTGCATAGAGGGCTCCGCAGGTCGAAGCGGGTTGCGGCGAAAGGCGCGGGGGCAGCGCTCGGACCACACGGGCTCGGCGCGGTGCGCGCGGGTGGCCACAACCACATGCGCGCGCACGATCCTCTCCCTCGCCTCTCCACCGCACCCTGCCCTAACCCCGCGTCCCTCCTGTAACGTCATTCATTGCGATCGTCCGCGCCGATCGGCTGCTACCGCATCCACTCCAATCCAAATGTCGTCATTATCGCCGCGCACGCACTGGAAATGCAATAAAAGCTCGCCCAGCTATCGACCGACCACGTTCATTACGATTTACTGGATCTAAACCGCCTCGTGCGATTTCAATCTATTTTATTTTAATGCTATAGCTCTGTTTACAGTAGGGTTTTCATGTATTAAGCCTAGTGTATTACGAAAGCTTTTAATTATGACGTATTTTTCCAAGTGATGCAAAATATTTATTGGTTTATGTGTGGATTAAATTGTTTAAGTTTTCTTTTTCGTTTAACAAACGAGCGGAACGGTGGGTTGCAAGTTGCAATACAAATGTAGGGAAAAGGATAAACAAAAGCTAGTGGCGCGGCGTGGCCGGCCGGCATGGCACGCCGAGTGTGAAAGCTTCGCGCGTACGCTACGATAACCTCGCGTGACCTTGCTACGTTCCGATACACGCCGCGCCGCCCGCGCACGTTTTTTACTATACATACAACATGCTCATAGAATGCCTTCACAGTGATGTATTATTTTTTACATAAGCCAGATGACCATGTGATGTTAGATCGTTTTTTAGTCTGAATCGAGGGCCTTAAAATAAACTTTTGCAAAATCTATTTACCGTAAAAGTAGTAATGTCCAAAGCACTTTCAAAAGTTGTGCCCTTTTGTGGCGGCAAACAATCGACGTACATATTTAGTAGGTGAAATATATATAAAAGAAAGTCGTGTTAGTTACACTATTTATAACTCAAGAACGGCCTCACCGATTTGCCTGAAAATTGGTGAGGCGGTAGCTTAGAGCCAGGAGAATGACAAAGAATGCTATTTATTCTTTTTTTAAAAATTATTTCGAATTTATGCCTTGAAGAACTGCTTTTTATTTAACTTATCTATATATTAAGTTTTTTTTATATATCTACGCGGACGGAATCGCTGGCGTTAATAGTTGAAGTTTGGTGAAACTAAATATCCACAACTTTAATAAGTCAACATAAGAAAGAATGGGTATGTGTTCTGAAAACATAAAGTATCACTTTATGTTGACTCTCGGAGTATTTCGAGATGTTGGAAAGGATCAAGTATGTCCGTACCGAAGCTAAACATAGTTGAGGCGCGCTGGGGCCGGATATTAGGGATTATCATAAAGTAAATGGAATGGCATCGAACGCTAGCCCGCACAGGGCGATGCTATTTTAACTATAACTTAACCTTAAGGTCGCAGCATTTATCAGAATGAACAAAAATATGTTACGCGGAAGACTAAGAAAAATAAAACATAATCTCAGTTAAAAGTACCGAAGTAAAGAAAATTAAGATATTTCTATATTGTAAAGAAATCTTTGATTATTATAAAAAGGTTGTTTACATACTTCGTTATTGTTTATTTCATTTTATACAATGAAATAAAAATATAGTATGATAGAAGTAACTACCGGACTTTAGTTCTGACTTTTTTTTATTTGGTATGATAAAAAGGCAAAGGCAATTTAAATCGATGCCAAGATAATGATTTAACTCTGCTCGTTTTCATGCTTTTCATAAACCACGAGGTAGTTCAGAATTATAAATCGTTACTCATCCGAATTTAATATTGGGTGCCGCAAATAAAAAAAGAAACATCTTAGCACGTCAATCACGTTTTTTACAGACCTTTTTATATTTTAATGCTTATTAGCTCATTTGCATACAAAGTGTTTAGCAAAATCACGATTGCATTAGCATTAGGACAATCTGTGGACAAGCGGCGGTGTCAAGTGGATCATTGTCTTTTTACTAACGCTTCTAAATACTCGATGACATGATTCAGTTAATATGCGCAACAAATTGCTATACCATTGTTATATTTGCGCTTTAAGTCTATTTACATTTACCTACAGTTATTGAGAGTCATGATTGCAGTTGGGTGGTCTGGACGGAGTGGTTTTATTACTTTTAATCGGAAGTTAGATACGATAAGTATCAAGACTCGACCACAAGATTACAGACTTACTGTCAGTTATAGGTTTAAATAAAGATAGAGTACACGCAGGCTTGTGATTTTTATATAACTGAATGCTGCATAATTTATATTTGTAATTTCTAAATACATTTCGTAGTTATGTATAGACGTAACTTGTATTGCAGCTAATATTTTAATTTTTTCATTGACTTATAGATTAAGTTATTTTCTCTCAATTTATTACTAATTAACAGTTGAATAATATCAAAGTATAAAGTGTAGCGATGAGAATCGAAAAGATTTAGTGTTGACGGGCCGTGTCGCTGACTCCGGACCGTCCCGCTATAAATTAGCGACCAAAATAAATAGCATTCCTTGTGAGCGTCGAACGAGGGCGTTAACTGCCTTCCCCGCACGGTTGCACTCCACACTTGTACTGCCATGACTTTTACACAACATTCTAGAACATACAAATCACTCAAACATAGAATAAAAATCTGAATTTGAGAAACCATCATTGTTAAGTAGCTTTTTCAATTAAAGACTTTGTTTAATCTACCTTATACGTGTCTTAAAGAAATACTTGGACCAATCTCTAACAATATAAAAATACATTTAATCCAGTTCGCTTTAATATATTTTCGACTTTAAAAATGATAAATATTGGTTACTGGTAAATGCACAAACAATTTAGATATCGCAACAGGGTGTTGCAATTTATTTATGGAGGCTTAATTCAAATCCAACACCGAACTCATTGGAGCGTGACCATTAGTATGACACTAAATTGAATGTTCAGAGTTGCCAGTGTTATTTTATGCTATTAGAATAGTAATTTACATAATTTATGTGCTATAAATTAAATCGAGTGTAACTAAAACTTTAATTAATAATTTAAATAATAGTTAACTGTTTGTCTGTTTCTAACACCTTACGGAATACAGTGCAAAAAAATCGTGACACACCACGATAAATCAACAAACTGAGTGTTAATTGGGACGAATTCTCTCGACGATATGATAACGTATGAATACATCTCACCTCCGATGCCGAGGCGAAAAAATATCGCGTTGAAAGCAAAAAAAAATTCACGCTAACAACCGTGAGCCCGGCACCGTTGGACACTTTCAACGGTCGTTTTAAATGACTCCATTATTTTTTTGTACAATTCGTTTTAATAATGTATCTTATCTCATCTTTACTATATTCAAAAATAATATTTTAAACTATTTTTAATGACGTGTAGTAGAATGGCATTATTTTGTCGACTGCCAGTGTCTATTTCTGTTTTTTTTTATAAGTGTACGGTTGGTTATGCGTAGGGCTGTCGTGGCTTCGGTATAAATCACTATAAGATGTGTTAAGAAGTTTCTTGCCGCTACATTCCTCTGACAAATGTGTCGACACTCTCCAATAAGCCATGTGTGCTGTCAACGTGTATTGGCTAAGTTTGGAACACATTTTTTGTGTTGTTAAAATCAAACAGCACCGATCCGTTCTAAATAACATGTTACCCTATGCTTAAGCTTACACTGTTTGCTTATTTAAGTTGTTCATAAAGTTTCCGCATCATAAATCAATTATAGTGTTTATGAATGTCTTTTAATTAAAGTATTGTAATATAAAAATGTTATTATTGGATAAAAGACCTTGCGTTCATTATCAGCGGACGAAGTGAAAACATACGAGTGAGTAAATTAAGACGTCTGAGATCATGACGACTATCGCATCGCATCACATCGCATCGCAACGCATTAGTCAACGATTTATTTTAATGAGCCACATTGAGCTGAGAGCCACACAGAGAATAAGAAGCTAATTCGATGCGAACTTAATTGCGTTTTCATTAATATTAAACTTGGCCTTTTTTCTCGTCATTTCACATTATGTACTAATTTGTAGGCCGCGCAAGGCCGGCGCTGTTGGCGATCCGCGTTTACTTATACATTACCGGGACAAAAACACTTGGAAATGATTCGACATTAAGATAAATGCTATAATAAAACATGAGGTGAAACGGAAAAATGGACATTAAGTACACTACATTAAATCATCAATGATACTGGCAGAGTAAATCTTAAAAAGTTTTCCTGGAGAGTAATAATGTTTCCGAAATGGCGACTGACTGTGAGGTCTTTGACCTTAAGGTATCGGTGTTTAAATATCATCTGATGTTCGATGTTTGTGCAGAGGGCGGGAGGCTGGAGGCTGAGCTGAAGTACACAGCTAAGGCGCTAGGCGAGGCGGACTCCTCCACGCACCAGCTCATCATACAGACTGCGAAGGACCCCGACGTTTCCCTGCTGCACGTCGGTGCCTTGCTTGCACACCTAAAGGTATGTAATAACGCTACGTTTTGAAATTTATACATGTTATTATACCATAGCTGTTGTAAAAACAATATCAATTCGTTATCCAACTGTATGGTTGGTATATCTAAAGAGAATTTTGAATTAAAATTAGTCATTGACTTACTTTATTATACTTTTTATTAAAGAAAGAATACCAACTAAAAAAAAAGAATGGTCCTCAAATTGTTCTCACATTAATTTTATCTTACCAAAGAGGTGTCCCTCTGATATAAGCTGACACTATAAATAAAGCTCATTCCGATGCCAAAATAAATTCCCGCATCGAGGCGTTGTGAAGTCGTATTTCTGTGCCGACGAGTGATTACAAAATGTATTTATTAAGTCACTGGACGACCGCCGACCACTACACTCCTCATCGAAATTCTTGACGGGTACCATGGGCCTTTTAGGGCCTTGCATGTTTACGATTAAGATCGTTATAGGCACACCACCTGTTCTTACGACTCAAATATGCCCAAATGTGTTTGCATTAAATAGTTTGCTTGTGGGTGGGTGCACTGGCCGTTGTTAGAAAAGCTATAAATATCACAAAAGGTGTACCGTTATCAAAAAAGATCGGTTAAAATTGTATAGATGTTGCGTCTCCAAAACGTCTTTAAAGTAAACATCTTTATAGGAAATAATTTTTATTTATTTGCTTTGAAGTTATAACCTGATTTAACTTTGATTTGCAGGTTGTACAGGCAGCGACGCGGGTTACGATTCACATGTACGACATTGAGTGGCGGCTGAAGGACCTGTGCTATAGTCCCAGCATCCCTGACTTCGAGGCCTATCACATAGAGAAGATATTTGACAACATCGTACCCTGCGCTATTATCACGCCGCTAGACTGCTTCTGGGAAGGCTCAAAGCTATTAGGACCAGAATACCCTATTGTCGTTCCGTAAGTACAAAGAAATAGAAAATGTTAAATAGTAAATAACTTGTGTCCATGTAAAATGTTTTGTTTTTTGGGTTGTTTATTAAAATAAAAAGTTTAAATGTTTAATTACAGAGGTCTGCTACAAAGATTGACATGGACGCACTTAAATCCCTTAGAAGTATTGGAAGAAGTGAGGAAACTGAAATTCCAGTTTCCATTGAGCACTATGGAGGCTTACATGAAGAGGGCTGGCATCACGTCCGGCTACATGAAGAAGCCGTGCCTCGACCCCACCGACGCACATTGTCCCAACACCGCGCCCAACAAGAAATCCGGACATGTAATTATACACATTTATAACTACAATGATTATAAAATGCCTATTAACTTTTATGTGTTTGTGTGCTTCAGTTAATTTTGATTTTATAAGCTGTAATAATATATAAGTAATGTTTATGTATTTAAGATTTTTATAGCCGGTAGGATGCAGTCATTTGTCACGCATGCGCGACTTTCATTACTATCACTTTGGCTCATAACGCGACTTTTGTGAATAGTCTAAGTTACGATGATTTTTATGTGCGCATAAATAAATTAAACGGCTTTCGTGACAAAATAACTATTGAGGCGTGCACTTAAACTTTAAATACTTTCCATTGTGATGAAATATTTTTTGGAAATGGTAATAATGCGGGATGAAAGCGGTCGCCGGTCGGCAGATGGTGGTTACGGCTACCTGCTCCTACCTGCTGAGAAAGTAACGTTCCGAAGTTAGCCTTCACTCTGGCCTCTGTTGCTTAACTTGACAATACTATGCCACGACACCCACTCATTAAGCCCACTCTATTGATTGTTCTGACAATTGTTTTACTGAGAAGTTGTTTGTTTTGAACAGAATCCGACAATCTTAAGCTATTGTTATTTGTTTTTCGTGGTCTTAAAAGAAGTAATAACTTTGACTAAATTACTGAATAAAATATTTCTTATATCTTTCGCAACAATAATTGTTGAATGCTTTGCCAGCATCTTTGTAGGATCACTGAAAATATGTGCTCTTTTCCCAATCTAACCGTTACGCAATCACGTTTGAAAACATTATGGTCAAAATATAACTGGTAATTGAGAGGACTGGGGATGTAATACTAGTGACAGATTTCGTCGTTGTCAACACAATGTGAACTGATTGATGTGTATATGTTCGGAGATCAAGTAAACCGCGTGCTCGTTTATCACTTGCATTGAAGGTTAAGAAACAAAAAGCGCATTGGAATGGCAGTTTAGTGGGCAGGGTGCGTTTTTGTGCAGCGAACGATCGCCACCCACGTTCGCCGAAGGAACGGGCGCTCATTGTCCGCTGCGCATTATACGGGCGCATTGTGCGCGCTTCAATGGGCCCCCGCTATCGACGCACAATGTCACTATTATATCAATACCCGATACACAACTCCGTTCCACGTAACACTCGTAAATTTTACTCGCTCCTTTGTTCATTTCGGTGCGTTATCAATTCACTTTTCGTCATGATTATAATGTGTCCCTACACCACCTGTTTTTGACAATTGTATTTGAGGTTATGCGGAATTTTCTTCAGATTGTGTTGGCCATTGTAATGGGTTACTAATTCATGGAATTTCCAAAAGAGAATTACCATAAGTACGATAGATAGATGTATTTTTTTTCGTTTTTAAATATTAATCCGCTAAACACAAAAGTCCTTTCGTTTCTCGTGTACCGTAAGTTCAAAGTCTAATATGAGTTTTGTTCGTATAGGTACCAGATGTAGCCGCGGAGTTATCCCACGGTTGCTACGGGTTCGCGGCTGCGTACATGCACTGGCCAGAACAGCTGATAGTAGGAGGTGCTACGCGGAACACAACGAGCGCGCTGCGCAGCGCACGCGCACTGCAGAGCGTTGTGCAGCTGATGGGCGAACGCGAGATGTTCGAGTACTGGACAGATCATTACAAGGTTCATCATATCGGCTGGACGCAGGAGAAAGCGGCTGCTGTGTTAGACGCATGGCAGAGGAAGTTTGCTGCCGTAAGTTAAAAATATTCGAAGTAATTTTGATGAATGGTCTAAACATCTTGGAAGTGTTGTTTAAATCACATGACTATTAACACTGTACGGTTTTGTTATATTTGATGTAATTTAAATGAGAATCATAATATTTGCGTTGATTCAACAAAATTAGGAAGTACTTTTAAATTCATGTAGTCTTATTCTAAAACACTTAACTCAAAATAAGTTTATTTTAATTGCAGGAAGTAAGAAAAATGACTGCAACGGAATCAGTGTCTCCGGCATACAGCTTCTATCCGTTCTCCACGTCCACGCTTAATGATATTCTTGGAAAATTCTCTGAGCTCTCACTCAAGAACATTATATTGGGATATATGTTTATGGTAATTATCTTGGCTGATAGTTTCACGCCTATGATCCTTTTTTTGTTTTTTTTTTATTGTTTTTTTTATTTATCATTTGGTTGTACTTACAGTTGATATACGTGGCGGTGACACTGATGCAGTGGCGCGACCCGATCCGCTCGCAGGCGGGCGTGGGCATCGCGGGCGTGCTCTTGTTGTCTATTACCGTTGCCGCCGGACTAGGTTTTTGTGCTTTATTAGGTGATTTGATTTTTATTTTCTTTTTTTTTTTCTTTTTATTTGCATTATTTTTATTTTTACGTTGTGTTTTAATTATGTTTTTACGAAAAGTTTTTTGTCCTATAACTTAATTATTTAATGTACTAAAATACAAAATTTCGCCAGTGCGTCGATATTTATGATCAACTGGCTGTCGCCCGCGACTTTGTCCGCAAGGAATAAATAAAAAACTTAATTAGTAGTCGTATGTGTTCTTACAGACTTTGTTCTTGCTATCTATGCCAAATTTCAGCGACATACATACAGCCATTTTGTTGATACCATCAAACAAACATCCATCCATCCATACATCTTAACATTCGCATCAATATTATTAGGATTTAACATCACTTAAATTGCAAAAAAAATGTTTATCAAATGTATATTAATCAATTTTTTTATATTCTTCCAGGTATACCATTCAATGCATCAAGTACTCAAATAGTGCCGTTCCTAGCGCTGGGTCTGGGCGTGCAGGACATGTTCCTTCTCACTCACACGTACGTGGAGCAAGCGGGAGATGTGCCGCGTGAGGAGCGCACCGGATTGGTGCTCAAGAAGTCTGGTCTGAGCGTGCTGCTCGCCTCACTATGCAATGTCATGGCATTTTTAGCGGCTGCTTTGCTTCCTATACCAGCTTTGAGGGTCTTTTGTTTACAGGTTAGAAACGTGTTTTTTTATTACTTTAATTTGTAGTTTTAAATACATGGTGTAAGATAAATAATTGTTCTGTTCATAAAAATCGTATTAAGTGTTAATTTATAAAAAAAATCATACTGTAAATTCGTTTTTAATATGAATTTCTATACATTTATTTTTTACACTGTTTAACTTTACTATATCATAGATAGAATATTTAAAAAGTATTTTTTTTTATCTTAAAGCAACGTATTCCTTAAAAAACTTCAAACCAAAAAAACGAAATTAAAAAAGTATCATCTCATTTGCAGGCTGCAATACTGCTAATGTTCAACCTGGGCTCGATGCTGCTGGTGTTCCCTGCGATGATATCACTGGACCTGCGCCGGCGATCCGCCGCACGCGCTGACCTGCTCTGCTGCCTCATGCCGGAGTCTCCTGTCAGGACTAGGAAACTTCCAGAACGTTCTGGACGCAGTGGAAGAAATGATAAAGTGAGCTCATTTAAAAGTATTAGTTTTACAGACCTATTATTCCTTTGCAATTACTTTTTTTTTATAATGAACATTCTTTATAATTCATAATAATATTTTTATCAGAGCAACTGGAAGGATACAACTCGTCAGCCTTTGGACCCCGAGGTGTCGGGAGATGAAGCTAAGACTTGCTGCATCAGTCTATCTCTTACTAAATGGGCTAAGAAATATTACGCTCCGTTTATCATGCGGCCCTCTGTAAAGGTAAGGACTAAAAATCCCTTTTTTCTATGATTTTTTTTTACTATTTGTATTGTTCTAATGATGTTAAATTTATTTTCCCAGGTGACTTCAATGTTAGCACTAATAGCAGTGATTCTCGCGAGTCTGTGGGGGGCAACTAAAGTCAAAGACGGTCTAGATCTTACAGATATAGTCCCAGAAAATACAGACGAACACGAATTTCTATCACGACAGGAGAAATACTTTGGTTTTTACAACATGTATGCAGTAACACAAGGCGACTTCGAATATCCAACCAATCAGAAATTACTCTACGAATATCACGACCAATTTGTACGGATTCCAAATATTATAAAAAACGACAACGGTGGACTGACAAAGTTCTGGCTCAGTCTATTCCGGGATTGGCTACTCGATTTACAGGCTGCATTCGATAAAGAAGTCGCCAGTGGTTGTATAACACAAGAATACTGGTGTAAAAATGCAAGCGACGAAGGAATATTGGCCTACAAATTAATGGTGCAAACTGGACATGTCGACAACCCTATAGACAAATCTCTTATAAGCACAGATACAAAAAATGGTCATAGATTAGTTGATAAAGACGGTATAATCAATCCGAAAGCATTCTACAATTATTTATCAGCATGGGCTACTAATGATGCATTGGCTTACGGTGCTTCTCAAGCAAATTTGAAGCCACAACCGAAGAGATGGACTCATTCACCCGGTGATGTCGATTTAAAAATACCCAAATCTTCGCCGTTGATTTACACACAGTTACCGTTTTACCTATCGGGGCTCAGTGATACAGACAGCATAAAAACATTGATAATGTCAGTGAGAGAACTTTGTTTGAAGTTCGAAGTTAAAGGATTGTCTAACTTCCCATCGGGGATACCATTTTTGTTTTGGGAGCAGTACCTGTATTTGCGGACTTCTCTACTTCTGGCTTTGGCGTGCGCGTTGGCCGCTGTGTTTGTGGTGAGTACATTGTACTTAAAAAATAATACATCAGGATGGATGTTTGTCAGAAGGTATCTCCATAACGGTTCAATGGACCTTGATGATATTTGGCATGGATGTAGAAAATAGTCAGGAAGATTACATAGGCTACTTTATTAAGTTTTTTTAACATCGCGCGGACAGTCACAGGCAACAGCTAGTAACTTATAATATTGCGTATTTGAAGTACGTATATCAAAACAATTCTAAATTTGTAATTTTTTTTTAAATTTTGCAGGGGGTAATGGTGCTGTTGCTGAACGCGTGGGCGGCGATGCTGGTGACGCTGGCGCTGGCAACATTGGTACTCCAGCTGCTGGGCGTGATGGCAGCACTGGGTGTGAAGCTGTCCGCCGTGCCCGCAGTCCTGCTGGTGCTGGCCATCGGTCGCGGCGTTCACTTCACTCTGCATTTGTGTCTTGTAAGTGGTACAATACCAACTGAACAATTATACTGACAAACATTTGACTTATACGCCAAACAAACAAAATCTATGTGCTTTTTTCTCTTGTGCAATCAATGCATTCATATTTTAAAATCTTCTTGCCATATTAATCGTGGGTTTCTGAGACCAAAATCTTTGTTATATATAACAGGGATGATGATATTTTTAATACAAAGATTTTGGTGTCAGAATCCAACTCAATTATAGCAAAAATGCATTTTTATATATTAGTAGTTTTTAATCAATGTTATCTCTCTTCAGGGCTTTGTAACGTCGATCGGATGCAGACGTCGTCGCGCCTCCCTCGCACTGGAGTCAGTCCTAGCGCCAGTTGTCCACGGCGCGATGGCAGCAGCCCTCGCCGCGTCCATGTTAGCGACCAGCGAGTTTGGATTCGTCGCCAGGTTGTTCCTGAGGCTTCTGCTGGCTCTAGTTATACTGGGCTTGGTGGACGGACTACTATTCTTCCCTATTGTACTGTCGATACTGGGACCTAATGCTGAGGTATGCTAAAGTCTTTTCTAGTCTTTATATGCATTTTCTTAAAGATCTTAGTAACATAATATTTAATACCAGTTTGACAACAAGTGCACGAGCATAAAACAGATTAAAAGTAAAACACTTTTCTACAGGTGCGGCCACTAGAACATCCAGAAAGGTTATCAACACCATCACCGAAGTCATCACCGATTCATCAGCGTAAGACGAGTTCCAGTGACAAGACCAGCCGCACTAAGTCAGCGCCACGGCCGAGCGCCCCCTCCCTCACCACCATCACAGAGGAGCCTCCCAGCTGGCACAGCTCCGCGCCTTCCGTACAATCCTCCATGCAGTCCATTGTCGTCCAGCCTGAAGTGGTAGTAGAAACCACCACTTATAACGGCAGTGATTCCGCCTCCGGACGCTCTACTCCCACTTCGAAGACCACGCATTCTGGTGCTATTACTACCAAGGTGAGTTTTTATGATAATTACAATGTTGGTGCATGTATCCTGTCGCGACCTTTAGTATGTGTATGGATTTTAATGTTATATTCAATCGTCTATTTATCTGTTTTATTAATAATGTGAGAGCTTTTTTAATTTACTTAAAATCATATTTTTTCCAGGTCACTGCAACGGCTAATATAAAAGTAGAAGTAGTGACACCTAGTGACAGAAAGTCGAGGCGATCCTATCATTACTACGACCGACGCAGGGACCGCGACGACGACCGCGACAGAGACAGGGATAGGGACCGCGAAAGGGACAGAGATCGGGGCGACCGCGAGAGAGACAGAGACAGAGAGAGGTCCAGAGAAAGAGATAGAAGAGATCGGTACAGAGATGAAAGGGAGCATCGCGCTTCCCCAAGAGAAAACGGACGAGATTCCGGTCACGAAAGTGACTCATCTCGTCATTAAAGTTTAATGAACAATGTAGTTATAATAATGACATTAGTGTAACAGGCAGTGTTTCGTGTATTTAATACGCCGAATGTAAAGACATCTTTACCTAAAGTTTAATGAAATCTCTTTATAATTGAGATTAGTGTACGCATGTTTTAAGGTTCAGCAATATTGTTTAAATTTAACCCAGCCTTAAGACAGTATTACGTGGAATGTAATTTTAAGATTAACTCCATATGCTAGAAACGGAGGCTACAATATTGTGTGCATTTTCTATATATCGATTTGTGCTGAGATCATTCCAAGACATATTGTGTTGTTCAGTAAATCCGTGTATTTCTACTGACGATAAACTTGAATAAAACATTTTGTTATATCTATTAGATATGGTAATATTTGTCTTTGTATTTCGTCAGTGGAAACCCACGTCAAGAATGTGTCAAATGTTGCTTGTAACTGTACAGACCAAATATCGATTTGTTGATGTCATAAATTAACGTTTATTTCGTGTGTTCCTAAAGACTGTGGTCGAATATTATTAATTTATCATATTATTTATTATTTGTGTCTATATTTCATCGCCACAATCTGTAATGTTTACAATGAAACGCGAGTGACAAGTTCAAGATGTTTTATTGGACTGACGTACAAAAGTATATCGTTAAGTAAGGTACATTATACAGTGGTTTTCTAGGTACCTACATTACATGTAGGACTTGGGGAAAAAAGTTAACAGTCGGGAGTGGTCCAGGCGGAATGGCAACTGGTTCTGCTGGTGATGGAGCTTCAACTCCTTCCATCGCATCTTCTGGTTCCGCATCTTCCGCTAGCCTTCGTCGAGGTTGTGGCTATGTGTGTGACACGTGGCACGATGCCATTTCTCAACCGGGCGTCGTTGAAATCCTGCCTGTTAACAGTGGTACGCAAATCCTCTGCTACGCGTTGCAGGATTGCCGGTGCGGGTAAATTTTCACAGAACCCATGTGTTTCTGCGGTGGCTGTGCCGATGTGGCCATCACGATTTGACTCTCTTGCAACCATCGTGTGCCTTACTCCTGCAGCATCGGTGTAATCACCTAGCCCCGTCAGATATTCTCCGGCTTCGGCGGCGATCTCTAATGATCCGTATCCACTCATAAACTGCACGAGCTTCTCTTGATCGAAGCTGGCGGTGCTGTGCTTTTGGGCCGCCATTGCAATTTTATACCACAGCAGCAGCTGATGGCATCGACATTAAACTGTCAGGCTGGGTCCTCCGATACAAAGCCGGTCTCACCATCGATGACAAACGACTCAAGCCATAAAGGATCATTTGTTAACGGTGTCTCTTTCGTTGATAGGTTTGTCGGTTTTGGTATGGTCTTTTGTGTCTTATTTTTCGGTCGTGGAAAGTTTGGCTTTTCCTTTGGCTTCGATGGCCTCGGCTTCTCCTGAGAGGTGGGTGCTTGCGCATGCTGGCTGTTAGCTTCTGCGGTGTCTGCCATTACGGCTAACTAACCTTTAAAATAAATTTTAAAGGGAGTTAAAGGAAGGACCATGTGTTACATGGAAGACTCGGATGTATTGTACAAATTATATAATTAAGTGTTTAAAAAATTAAGGCATTTATTTATGAGATTAATTAGTATACGTATATTCTTGTATTGTTGTGATTTTTATTAGGTAATATCAGGTATATAAGACTGCATTTAGCGATCAAAATATAAAGGAAAATAACAAAGTACAATCTAGCAGATAAATTGATTTCGTCATATAAAGTGACGCAATGATTTGAATTAGTGACGTAACTCTGACCTCAGTAGAAGACGAGCGTTGTGACATTTTGTGCAAAGTACTTATTTAGGATATATTAATTTATACGATTATTACTTTATATTGTAAATATATATTTAATGTTAATGAGCGAATGCTTGCGCTGAAAAAAACAATAGTTATAAAAAGTAAATACTTTTTATTATCTGCACAAATCACGCACAATTTTAATTTAATCTGTAACAATTTTTTAATGTCATCAATTTCGAAATTTTAAAAAATTGGCTATGAGTTTTTATTCCCAATGAATCTTTAAATTTTAATATTTAAAAATGTTTTCGTAATATTTCCCCGTGTAATAAATATAGATTGTGAACCACCGCAATTTTTTATTAAGAAAAATATATTTTTAATAGTTTCCATACGCACAAAGTATTGTTAAAACTTCGTGTTAACTGTCGGACTGTATTGAGAGAATTAAATATTTTTTAAAATCCTAAGAGAATCTTTTATTTTCTTCCTTCATCTATTTTTGAGAAGTTATGAGAGATTTAAATAAATCAATTATGAACGTTCCATTGCCATAGTCAAAATTATAAGAGAACGACAAAACAAAAAATAACTCTGCACTTGTAGAGTTCAAGAAGAAATACCTAATAATCAAAAACTAATAAATGCGAATGATTGCACTCGTTAAAACACGAGGGAAGATACGAATGCAACGAAAAATCGATAAATGATTCAGGCATATTTCTAATACAGAATAAGAAATTTTATAATAGAAAAAGCTATTTCACATAGAATTATATAGCCCGGCTAGCTCAGTCGGTAGAGCATGAGACTCTTAATCTCAGGGTCGTGGGTTCGAGCCCCACGTTGGGCGACAACTTTTTGAAAGTTTATTAATTTTTCCCGGTGCCACTCCCTGACTTTTACAAAAGTAATGAAATAACATAGTTAAGTATTGATCAAATTAAACGAATTTTAACAACCAAATTGCTGCAGATAATTTTACGATTAACTGCATCTATCAAATGTTATGTTCAATATAAGGTCGTGTGTATGGCTTTATTTAAGAATTTAGCTGCTTATTGACACTTCGCGTGTGACAATGCCTATGCTGATCAACATTAGCTTAACCGCTTCACTGTTACGGCTTCCAGCTTGGTGATCAACATAGTCGCGGAATTTTTCACATTATGCTATACCAGGTAGCTGTCCTATCAATGGTGGAAGAAAAGTGGCGCCAACTCACGCCCATTTTGAGGATTTCTTGACATCCGTGACAGAAGCCCAGGAATTACACTTTCCAGATCAAGTTGTCAATTAGTAACAATTACTGTATAAATTCAAGAAAAGAACTCAAACATCATTGAAAATAAATACAACTGCGATAAAAGTAAATTAAAAAAGTTGCAGTGAAAATGCAATTATTTTCTTACGTTGAGAGAGATATTGCTCGCTTTGGAAGTAGGTCGGAATCCCGGAGCCGCGGCTTCCGAAAGCAGGACGTACCGACATTCCTTTATGTTCCCAGATGTGATCCGCTGCACTGCATCTAACTATTACGCTTTTAACGTGTTGCGAATGTTTCAATTTGAATAAGTTAAGTAATTCTGTAATAACCTACTTCTTTACAAAGCTTTATTGAATTCTAATTCATTTTAAAGCTAGATTACCATGTTAAAAACTAACGAAATTCAATTGGTTTAAAATGTCATTTAAAAAATCTCTAATTCGAATTATAAAGGCGGGGGGATGTAATTTTGGCGGCAACAACGTTTGCGACATTCCTTAGAAAGCGGGAGCGCGGGAATCAATAAAGGATTTCCTGGCGGCATGCCCACGCATGTGCGTCGTACTCATTGGTGACTCATGTCGGCTGACATTACAGCTCTCATGGACTTGGACAGGTGAAATCAACAATAGCGGTAAAAAAAATGTTGCTTGCATGTATGTTTCAAATTTTCATTTCTTATCTCTATAAACTTAAATTAAAAGGTAATGAAGGTCAGATTGTAATCTTTATCCACATAAGATTTATATAAAGGTGTTGGGTGTCGTCAATTCGATGCATTATCAAATAAATCTCAATATTAAGTATCGCAGCGCTGCGTTATTGGGCGTATGATTCGCGCGCAGCGGCACTGCGGCTGGCGGGCGCGGGGCCCGGCGTGCGATGCGGGGTGGGGGCGGGGGGGCGGCGTGCGGCGGCGCGGCACTGTCCTCCGCGCCACTCTGTCCTCGCCCTGCGGCCCGCTCGGCGTCCGTCCTCCGAAACCGATGCTCCTCGCACAATAGAGCCTTGAGAGTGTCAGTGCTCGGTGCTCAGTGCAGTGGGTGTGTGGATGTGAGTGAGGCGCGGTGCGTGCGGACAAGCCGTGTGTCATGTGCCCTGTGCGCTGGTGAAGGCAGCATGTCGCCGCTCGCGCTGCTGCTGCCGCTCCTGGCCGCCGCGCTCCTCGCCGCCAACCAGATCGAGGACATACCTCACAATGAGTAAGACCACAAACATTTCCATCTCTACAATTTATCGTAGCGCTCGTAGATCATAGAACATTGATTTAAAGATGAAAATTTTGCTCAGAAAGGTCATTTAAAGTGATATTACTAGGTATATTCATGAATGTATTAAGTTCTGTGATTCTATTTCACATTATAAAGCTCTACGTGAAATCCCGAAAAGCTCTACGATTAATGAAAGCTACGATATTCCTAACATTACTGTAAAAAAGTTCAAAATCTGTAGGTAGATTAAGATTCTTTGTAGATCTTCTTTTTCTATATTCTAGTACACATAAAGTGGACATAATTTACCACAACTTAAACCGTGATTAGAATTTTAAATATTTTATTATGAATAGAATTAAGCAAAAGCGTGGCCGACCTTGGTTAATGATTAATTCTTAGCTACAAATCATTACCATAGAATAGACAGTAAACATTATTGTATTTACTCGTACATGCAGCATATGCAAACATATGTATGTAAAAATACAAAATATCTAGTTACATAACCTTTAAGTTGGATTATTGTACACGAAAATCTCATTTTTACAGCACAAGATACTAAATACGACTTTAAAAATCAATTGAGTTTTAATGAAGCTTGTCTAGTTGTTTTGACAGTACCCTCGACATTGTAAGAAGCAAGGGTGTGTATAGTAGAGGTGTGTATGCCGGTGCCCGTGTAAATAGTGTTCTCTCACTCTCATTTCTTTGAAAAGTCGTCTCGACGGCGTCACGTAGGAGTCGCGTCGGCAAGCGATGCATACTTTTACACACGCGTCAAGCGTAGTAATTAAAAACGCTACTACACTTTTATTTTGCTCAAGCTACCGTTAAAGTGTTTAGGATTAGCTTTCTAAGATGTCTTATAGAGCTCAATAGTTAAACCTTATTCACGTTATTATAAAATATTCTATATCACTTGATGTATCGTAATAGAATCGTAGTCATACAGTCATGGTTCTATTAGACGCCGCGTTATCTTAAGGGATTTAACGCATAGTTAAGCTGTTAGTAAGGTATGATCTTTAGAAAATCGATTTTCACTTTATCATATTTAATTTAACATGGCAACACATAGTTTTATTTTACTCCTATGTATAAGAAACTTTATGGAAACCTACTACTGGCTCTACCATACAGTCATTCTTAAAATGCTGTATACGAAAAAATGTCCATGGTATTTCACTTTGTGTGCTTATATTTATTTTATCAGTTCTTTAAAGACGCACTGTATGAGGAGACATTTTACGTTCATTGTTAAAAATGCCTTATTGTGTGTAAAAGCCAGAAACTAAATTGTTGAACGTTTTGTGTTTGTCAGAACGGTTCGCTTGTGCATATCTCTTGTTTACTTTAAAATGAAAGAATAGACAACGGAACGTACATTCGTAAAATAAGATAAAAATAAATTGTCTTATTAGTCCTCGATATTACAATGTACATTTTTATTGCAAATCAAAACACGATTATGCAATTTATTTCTATTATCAAGATTGATTTAGATTTATTATTATTATTTAATAGTTCATATATTTTTATTAATTTGTATACCAATAATTACATAACTTCAGCATATTGTAACTGTTGGAAATCTTTACTCATACCACAATAACAAAGACATTATTCGTTTTGTTTGAACTTATGGTATGTGCATAATGATTGAATGATAGTAGAATGACCTGATCATTGATGATATGATGACGAATGACATACTTTTGTCATACTACAATATGTAGTAAATATGACATTGACTTCATATCATGGCGTCACTCCTTAATTATTAACGAAAATATACTTACCTATACGTATCATGTTATTAATTTATTTGTTACTAGCTGTCGCCTGCGACTCCGTCCGCATGGATATTTAAAAAAAAACTTAATTAGTGTAGCCTATGTGTTCTTTCAGACTACGTTCTATACGTATGCCAAATTTAATCGAGATTCGTTCAGCCGTTCTAGAGATATCTTCAAACACCCATCCATCCATCCACATCACATCCATCTAAACATTCGCATTTTTAATATTAGTAAGTTAAATTAAAAGCTGCCCTTCTAGACATAAATTCGAAAAAAAATGAATAAATAGTATCCTATGTCCGAGTCCTGGCTCTAAGTTATTCCTCACCAATTTTCAGCAATATCAGTAAAGCTGTTCTTGAGTTATAAATAGTGTAACTAACAGGACTTTCTTTTATATATAGATTAAATCACTGATATACGATGAGCTGTCATATACAAAAATAAATTCTCATTTCCTTTGTCCTAAAAACCAGAAGAACAATTAAGTTTCGCGCAATAACTCTCTGTAAGATATGCATTAAAAGTAAATAGGTAATAGAATAGAGTAGTAGAGTATCTGAAAAGAGGTATTCAATCGATTACAGACATCTCGCCGAGTTAGTCTATTTAGATAAAGCAGTATCTTTTAATGCAATGCTATTGCCCTACCCTCTCGTCAGACGATGTTATAGGAGTCGCAGTAATGGCCACCGAAAACGAAAGAGCTGCCATTTGCTAAACGAAAAAGTTTACAAGTGACAGTTGGGAGTTCCAAGATGGATCAATTCGTGATAAATGATTCGATTAGGTCGCGAATAGAGTGGCATAGAGTTTCGGTAGAATGCCACTTAAAACTAGTGCTACTTTAGT